TTCTCTATTTGGCAAATAGAGCAAATGAAGATTTTTAACAATTTTGTAAATTACGCGCATGCAGCTTATGTGGTGAAGGTGTCGGGTAGGGGTATTTTGTATATAAGTCAAAATATTGGAATAGATAAGGTGTATCAGGGTTATTATTAAAAGTAGTTGGGTATGATTTTAATTTTATGTACATGATTATCTGAGAATGATGCAAGCTTCAAGCTCATGCTGGTGAAATGCAACAAAATGAAAAGCCATACACATGTAAATATTCTTACAATGGGCAAATATACAATTAAAATGAATAAACAATTTAACTACAGTAATACAAAATTGTGATGTTCCTGAAATCACAATCATGCAATACAAAGCACAGTGAATGTTAAAATATTATACCATAGCTATATATTTAAAGCAGGACTAAGGATCAAAATGGGCACAATACATTTCAATTTGCAGTTATTGTTTTAACAATGGGTCTGTCATTTGATGAAATGTCTGACTATTATTATTTTTTTATTGCTAATTTAGTTTATATTATTTCAACCATGAAACTCTTTTAATCAAGTAAAGCTCAAAGAAAAATGACAAATGGTATTTGATAAGAGTATTATGCTTAGTGATTAGACAATTTTATGTAAAGAAGAGTAAATGTGGTTTAAAAATACTATACTTGACATCATGTCACAAGTCTGCAAGTCATCTTTTCTACATTTACTGTAAGTGGAAAAGTGATCAAACTATTGGTACAAACAAAAAAGTTCCAAATGAAAGAAATTAGTCAGACATTTCATATCTAAGACAGAAAAATTGTGCAATAAAGCGACAATTCTGAGACTGCATCAAAACCCAGCAGTACAATACAACATGAACTCCATACCTCCATTCTGTTGAGATCTTGTAGATATAGCATATGTCTCTGTGGATGGGACAATAAATGCGCATTCGGAGGCCACATCTGCCCAGTAGAGGACCTGCCTCTGGCCATCATATAAACATCCTCCATGTTCTACTGGTGCATCTGGAGACAAAGAAATGCATGAGACCACTGCATATACTTTTACATACAAGGCATTAACATGATTAAATGTCACCACCTTGATGCACAATAGCAATTTGTTACAGATGCTGACACTGAAATGCTGAATACTGGTCACAAATAATGGTTAGGCTTTAACAATATTTCACCATTTCTAAGTGGTGACACTAACGTCACAAAAATGAAAAAGATTTTATGTATTTCTGTTGATAAGATCACAGACAAAAGAGTACAAATGATATAATCTGAGAGCATCAACAATTTACTTTCATTTTAGCATTTTTACTCATCTGAAATAAATGAACTTCATCTAGGTTTAAGTATGAATTGAAATGAATCTACTGTACAAATATGATTTTCTGGATGTAGCGCATTGTTAATGCATCGTATAATTGAACTTTTTTGAAATGTGTATCATATCAAAAAAGTATCTGGTAGACATAGTTACAACATACCAGTGTGAGATTGAGATTGTGTTGACTTCCAGCTATTAGCTGTATTTCCAGTCCACCCAGCATGTTGATCCACCTCTACTGGCCAACCCAAGGACCTGAGGAACTCTAAGTAGTGAGGGTGGACTTTGTTCTGGTTCATCTACAGAGAGAAACAAATCAATTATATTACATATAGGCCAGCTTGGGACCTAAAGAAATCTAGGTAGTGAGAATGGACTTTGTTCTGGTTCATCTGTATATGAAAAAAAAGATCAATCATTCATTCAGTGCTTTTCCTTATGACCATGAGAGAAGTTCATCAAAATTATATTACTTAGAGTTCCAATGTTTTTCCCCATTTAAGATAATATGAAAATATCACAAACACCTGGCACTGACCAATAGACTGGCCCTTAAATCAAATCCAGGATATGTGCAGTTTCGAACTCTTTTTCTAATTGTAGATACAGACATATTCATCCCACTCTCTATATACACTGTATATTCCACACATTATGCACCTAGAACGTCAGTAGGTGGATACAAAAATATAGTTTTAAGAGTTATTTACCACATTTTCCAGGATTTGTTCAGCTGTACTTTGGCCAGACTTCACATAGAACAGGAATACTGTATCTGAAGTCCTCACTGGTATGTTGTCCAAGCTATCAATAGCTGACATGAAGGTGGCATGGGATGAATCCAGTTGTACTAAACTAGGAGGCTGTGAGCTATTGCTGGGTTCCTAGAGCAAAATACACAATTTAATATCTTGCTTGACATGTCTAAAATGACTTTTCAAAGAACAATATAAATAAATCCTGTCCCATCTTAAGAAATGGACTTGTCTTAAAGTGAATTGTCTGAGAGATATTTCTCTAAAATGACTTTTTTGTAAATCATCTTCATGTGACTTGTTTCACAATGACTGCCCTTGAATGCCTTGTCCATGAATGGCTTGTCATATAATGACTTGTCCATGAATGACTTGTCATATAATGACTTGTCCATGAATGACTTGTCAAATAATTACCTGTCCATGAATGACTTGTCATATAATGACTTGTCCATGAATGACTTGTCATATATGACTTATCCATGAATGACTTGTCATATAATGACTTATCCATGAATGACTTGTCATATAATGACTTATCCATGAATGACTTGTCATATAATGACTTATCCATGAATGACTTGTCATATAATGACTTATCCATGAATGACTTGTCATATAGTTACTTGTCCATGAATGACTTGTCCAGGAATAACTTGTCATATAATGACTTATCCATGAATGACTTGTCATATAATTACTTGTCCATGAATGTCTTGTCATTTAATGACTTGTATGACTTGTCCATGAATGACTTGTCATATAATGACTTGTTCATGAATGACTTATTTAAAGTTCATTTTAGGCAAAAGTAAGGTAACCATTGTAAGTACGAAGAACATAAAAGAAACCATGCATACCCTTCATTGTGTTCTTACCTTTAAGGATTCAAGAGAAAGGAATCCATAGTGAGACAGAAACAATCTGGCAGTTTGGAACTCATGGCACACACTGTAAGAGAAGATAACATTTTTGTTCAGTTAATAAGGTGAAACATCTGAAAAAACATACTATGATTGGCTCGTTCATTATGGAAAGATGTTTATTGAAAGATTGTTTATTGCACAGATCGCAGACCCTCAAACAACCAGACATCTCTCACAACGATATTTCAGTTATTTAGGGTTCAATATGCAGGTCATGATTTTAAGAGAAACAAATTTATTTTTTATTTCAAAATAATTCATAGGATTACCTTGGAGCTTTACATTCAGTTACAGGATCTGGGTATGGTGCCTGAGATCTCTCTTTGCTAATCTTATCTTGTACTTTCTTCTCAAAGTTAGATTGGGCTTCAATAAAACTTTTGATTTTATCCAGCTCCTGTGCTTCTTTCTCAGAGACAATGTCCTGCAGGGAGGGGATGCTCTCATCTCTGAAGATAAATTCAGATTTGGGTTATTGGTATGTTTGATGTCTAATCTTTCAAAGCTCATTTTGTCAGTAAAAGACTTAAGTTTGAAATTTTAACAATAATATCACTTGAACTCTAAAGCCAATGGGAAATCTTTATTTATTTGAAAAATGTGTGATTTTGATTAATGTTTTCTTAATCTTACAACTTTTTAAAATAATGATCATTTTTCATTACATATAAATGCATTTGGAATACTTTGCACCATCAATAAACATTGGAAGAATATTGTTTAACTATATTTAACTCACGCTTGTGTATGTGGTATTGTATTGACAATGTCTGGGAAGTTCTTGTGTTTGATATTGTGGTGAACTCCCACATTGTCCATAGGGGCAGGCCTACCATGCTCTGAAAGACCACTCTTAGAGCCAACCTAAGAATAAAATGTAACTTTTGGTATGTGACTATATCTAAATTCTAAGATTTGTACAGTTTCTAATACAGAAGTAGTATATTAACAAACAATGAGATCATCTGTCGTAATTGTTGTGATAATTGAACTTCTCTGGCTTGCTCTATACGTTTAAAAATCAAAAGTTTTCCTTCATTTTTGTAAAAGACATTTGAAATTCAAACACTATTTATAAGCATTTTATAAATTGCCACAGCATGGGGATAAAACAGATACAAAGTACATGTATTTTCAATGAGCTTCTTTTACCTTGCGTAACCTGGGTAAGTGTCTGAGCTGCATTGTCCAAGCATGGCGGCCAAATGGTCCTCTTATAATGGCAGTAACAGTGGGGAGTGGATCTGAAACACATTGAAAAAGTTAAGACATAAACAAACGTTAACCATTTTCATGAACCAAAGAAGACAAATCAACAAATCAAAACTGAAACAGTTGTCATGGTTATCATGTTATTCCAAATAATTTCTCCAAAATGACAAGTCAATTTGCAAGTTGAGTGATGAGAAGACAGGTCTAATATGTGCTTGATCCATTGCTCATTTCTGTTTTTCTACAGAACTTGACCATTTACAAATTTGTTTCAATAGCTGTTCCATATTGGCATTAATAGCCATGTCTCAAGATACATTAATAGAAATGACATATTTCAGTTCAGTTTATGTTTAAACTATTTAATATATATAATAAATGAGAAAAAAACTATTTTCCCTGTGTATGTGTGTGACTGAAGGGGCTGTTCAAATAGGCTGTATAGTAATCTATCATGACCATCATAACATTTTCCCTTCCAGTTAAAACCTACTATTGTACCTTGATCATTTCCTAAAGGCTGCTCCAGTAGCCCCACCACAATGGAGTTATCCAGTACGAAATAGCGGAACTTTAATGTATGTTCTGGTGGTCCCCCATTGCAGTATTTCAATAAAGATTCCTCATCAAGTAAAGAGCACAGAGATTCTGGGCCACATGGAGGTGGAAAAGACCCCTAAAATGTACCAAAAATCATGTGTCAAATAAGTTTATTTAATACACAGACAAACCTTTAATGTAATTTTTTCTTTGAGTGAAATAAATATATTGTTTATGTTACATTATGATGAAATAAAACATATTGTAAAAACAACAAGGCATTTCAACACGCAAACTATCAACGCCTACCATTTGTTACAGATGCAGAACACCAACTGCCAAACACAGAACACTAACCACCGAACACCATCCACAAAAAAAAACAATATGTCACCACTTCTGGTATATGTCTATTCTGGTGGTGACATAATTATGTTAATATACCTAATGATACATAATTGTTTTGCATTTCACTGTTTTGGGACTCATATTCCTAGTTTGCTGGGTTTTATCCAACTATTCTTTACCCTTTTCAAGATCCCAACATCCCTACACCCCTCTTACCACTTGATCAATGATGCTTGTTAATACTCCCTCTGCAGCATCTTTTACTCTCATAGACGCAGGCATTAAAGGTTTCTCTGCCTTCAACTTTGGAGGGTCACTTGCACGATTCTAAAACATGAATTAAAATATTTCAGATTTAGTTATTCTGCTTTCTCGAGGAATAACCAGCTTTAAAAGCAGTTTTCTGTTGCAAATGCAGTACATGTATCCAATTTGTAATATCACAACAATAATGCAATTATCACAATATATAGGTAAATAAATGAAAATAAAAGAAAAAACACAATTAAATATCAAAATATTTTGAAAGCTCATTAACATGTAAAGGTCAGACCACCAGATCTTTGTAGACCCAAATATCTTACTAGATTTACATTAAGCCCCTGTATTAACCCACCGCCACCCCATTCTTTTTCTAGTACTTGTACCAAAATAATGTATGGTGTACAAAATAATTAACCAAGACAAAAATTACAAGTCTAAAAGTTTTTTTCCTCCAATATTCAAGGTAATTACTACTACAGTATTTAGAAAAGGGTTACTTTCTCCAAAGATCCAGTGGTATTGACTCCTATGTAACATAATGTTAAACTGAATGAAATAAAACTGCTTACATGTAAGTAATAATATAAAATCAAATAAAAAGGTTAAAAGATTTATTTAAAAGCTGAGGAAATTAAATGTTAAAACCATTTTTTTTGTAAAATACAGAAAATATTAGCAGCTCATGAAATAAATCTTTCAAGAGCACAATATTTTTGTATTTAAAAGAAATCATTGAATAGCAATTTTATTCATTGTGTATAAACACAATGAATAAAATTACAATTATAGTGTTTCAATGGGGTTTCAACCAAAAATGACGATTAACATCAAAGTGTGTGATAAGGATTCTTTATCACACAGTGTAACATATATTTGGAATATTTTTGTCACATGAACTAAGCATATTACGCTAGAAACACCATCTTTAAATTAAGAAGATATTTTATTTCAACTTTAGCAAGGAATCTATAATTAATATAAAGACACAATATTAAAATGAGCTGACAACCATCACCATCTTGAAGCCATGCACTGTAAAGTAAAAGCTTAATCTTTTTACATGTAAATATTTTTTGAAAAAAATACCAGTATTTATCAAAAGGTCAGTTGATTAATACATTGCACAGCCAATCAGACTTTGTATTAGCCATGCATTTAGCTACTATTGAATGATGTATATATGTGTATATTTAATTTATCATGATGTGTTGCTTGAACACATTTTCAAACCAGTTGTGTACAGAAATCTATTTCTTCTTGGTTACAGCCATCACATCAATTGATTATTTCAAACATAGAATTTTAAAGACCAGACACATGAAACATAAATAAATAAGTTCATATATATTTTGTGAAACTTTCAAATATCTGAGGGAGGAAAATCTACTAGCCTATAAGCAATGAAAAATCTCATTAGGCAGGGAAGAGAATGAACAAATTCAATAGATTTTGGAATAATATTGTTTTCACAGATAATTTTTTCACATGCCGTTAGTTTCCGAGATTTTGTTATGTTGTCATGGCAACCATAAATAGTAACCATAGTAACCATTACTAAATGCTACCTTGACTGTGCCAAATAAGGATGCTAGTCCTAGAATTGCATTAAAATGAACCTCTTGGGGATTCTCACTGGGACCTTTGATTAGAGGCAGAGGCTTAAATAAAGAAAAATTGAAATGGAAATTTATTAAATGATGTTTATCTTAGAAATTCTAAAATTGGCATCATTATTTAATCCTTTTTATTCTCACGTCAAACCTAATAAAAAAAAAATTATGAATGAAAAAAGAGTATGAATTACACATGTTGTTATGGCATGTTGTAATATAATCCTAACAGACAAAGTTCAACATCATATATGAATTGAAACTGTAAAACAGTTCCACAATGATTGACTGAAAATTGCAAGTTTGGCATACATGTGTGTACAGCAAAAAAGGACCTGGTCAAAATATTTGTTTTTTTCAAAAAACAAAGGATTAGACAAATCCCCCTCTTTGTTTAGACATAACATCATCACCTAGTTCAAGGTCCATGTTTCAGCAGCATGAATATTTTGGCCTTTTTATACCTACCTCCATGAAAGTATTTTTTCATTTAAAAATGACTCAATGAGTTTTGACCAAGCCCCTCAATTATCTATATTTCTAAATAGCAGCACATCCCATACAGCAAATTATAACACCAAAGCATCTAATGTAATCTATAGTAATATACCATAATTCCCATATTCATTTTCAAGTATAACTATTCCACCTTATTAGTTATTTTATGGCAAGTATAAAAGCATACTTTAAACTTTTTTTTTTCTTTTGGGAAGATGTTCCCAAAATAGTTTTAATCAAAATTTGACAGCGACTTTTACACTGTCATCATCACTTCAGGGGTATATTACGTATCCTCTAAAGAAAGCAGGTTTGAAAACAATCACTACTCACAAAATGTGAAGTCATATATATAAGTATGGGACTGTAAATAAAACACTGTCTGCCACCTAGGATGAAGCCCTTAGCCCTATATACAAAACAAACCACACAGATCAACAGATAGGTCACTAGGAGATGAGGTGGAGGAGAATACCTTAACTGATAGAGAGTTGCCGTCATTGAGGCGACGCTGGAAAATAACATAGAGCTACAGTCCACACCGAACTAATAGTATAATTCACATTGGCTGTATATATCTCAAAACCATGAAGCCATTTGTCTTTGACAAAGTTCACACAGGTGATAATGTGTATATTTACACTATTGCACACTCATTGTTCTGTCATATTTTCATATTCATATGGTCAATATGATGTAAAACAGCATGTAAAATGTGAATGGCTTCATGGCACTATCACTCCCAACAGGAAAGTTCAAGGTGGTCATGTTCCATAATATCTCTATCTTTTTGACATTCTCTGGTAGTTTTATAGAATTTGTGTATCTGAACACCTCTTTAATCCGAACATCGTTCAACGTGAAACCTTATTTTAATATGTCATGGAATTCCATGTTAAAAAACCTTGAAATGTGAACACCTGTCAATTTGAACACTTTTGGCTTGTCACAGTGGTGTTTGAATCAGACAGGTTTTACTGCATAAAATGTATTTTCGTTATAAAATATGACCTCCATGATATACTTTTCTGCGTTGCCCTTTAAAGTATGAAAACATTGATGTTGGTTCAAGATTAAAATGAACTTATTCCGCCAATTCTGCTTATGATTCAACATGAATGTTTTCACTGTAAGGAAAAATGCACAACATATATTACATTGCAAATGACTGAGCTTCTGATTATATTTGAAGAAATGCAAGATGCTTGTTTGACATATCTAGTATATGAATACCTGGAGATACTGTATGCCTTAGGCCTGGAAAAAGTTGTGTTTCTTTTCTACTCTTATCTCCAAAAGTCATATATTATATTAAAGAATTATTAGAATACCTTAACTTTATCCAAGATTTACGACCGGAATTCATCAACATTTTTTTGCCATAAGTAATAGAGTTAATCAATTTACAAAATGCAAAACTGACCCAGCACCATAGAGCACTTAAATAACATGTAGAAATCAAATCAAGATTTTGGCAACCAAATGAATTATTAAATGGGCTAATGGCAATATTTGCAAACCCCTAAGCAGCTAAACTGGGATCTACTTTATTATCTTTGAAAATAGATCCAGGTTGGCAAATATCTTGAAATGGTTTCATTTTTACATGATGCATTCTTTACAATGCAGAATATATCATAGATTTCCATGTTTTCTCTCAGTGAATTCCATTGATACTCTGAAAACAATCATTTCCTCAATTAAAGTACACGTACCATATTCTCTCTAATAAACACACAGAGCATTTCCCAAATTATTCAATTACATCTGTAACAGTACGACTATTGGTACAGAAATGGTTCAATCGATAGCGGTAAGCGATTTAAACCTTATTATCACCCAATTATTTTTTAGAATTTGTGTCACTCAAGTTGCAAAGGTCTTTCATAGAATAGTAGGGTGTGTGTTTATTGGAGAAATTATGGTATGTGATTTAGAAATGACAGGTAGAGTGCAAACTAGCAACTTCAAAGAGGAATTATGAGAAAAATCATGGAATTTTTAATATAATAGAAAAAGGGCCCCAAAGGATGTTCAATTGTTGTGTAGTTGAGTTACTTAAATCAGCAAGCGGGTTTTGTACCTTAGATACACCCAGGTTTTTAACTGCCAACCCCTTCACAAAACAAACATCAATAAATTATCACACAAATATTTTTAAATACGAAGAAATTCAATGTAATACTTCACTAGTAACACCTCGAACATATATTTGTTTATCATTTTAAAATCATTAAAAACAATTAAGACTTTATTAGGATTTAACTGAAATGTAATAAGTCCAAAAACAGCACACATGCTTGTTTTTAGTGCAAAAATGAGTTGAAATTCATGCTTAGGATTTCTTGATTCTACTGTACTGATTTATTATGTGTTTTTGCAATGTTGCTATATGATATTACACAATAGTGCTTTTTCTAGTGAAGACTACAGTTATATGGGACACAAGCACGCATAACTATACACAGTACAAGTGGTGATATTTATCTAACAAACAAAGCAAAGAAAAATTACAAAAATTAACATCTACATAATATCCAAAAAGGTTCAGATTTTCTTCATATCACTTCATAGGCATTGAATCACTCTCAAAAATATGCATGATCAAAAAACATTATTAAGACTAGTGCATCAAATCACACACAATAAAAAAAATCAATGAACCATTAAACACAACTATATGCTGAAAAGCCAAGTTTCATCCTGATGTTGACTCATCCAACTTAATTCCTTCAACTGTTTTGATGTCTCATTTTGACCTCAAAAAGATTTCAAGAGCATTTATTCAGCATATAGGTGCATTTTATTTTAATCTATAGCACATACTGACTTTGCATTTCCTCCTTACCTGTGACTTTGAGCCAGATATACCAAGCTCTACTACCTCTAGAACGCAATGTAAACATTCTTTATCTTGCATCAGGTATGGGTGTTGAACCAGCCATAGTGTAAGGCAATTAAATGCAGCCACTATCATAGAGTGAAGATCTCTTGTATGTGCAGGAGCTGGTCTGAAATATAAAATAATGGTGGTGCTACATTGAATTCTTCATTCATTTATATTTCATTAAAAAGCCTCTTGACTTCTTTTTCCATCAAAAAACTTCATTTAAAAATATCTCATATAATCTCCAAAATCATATAGTTGACCTCAATTTAAACCAGTTGATTTATCATTCAAAAATATTAAAAGCTGGTTAAGTCATTAAGAACAATTCTTCAATCATCTCATATAACAGAAGAACCAACCTGCTACATTGATAGACTATAAAGTCACAGATCCACTTGACCGTGCGCTTACACATCAACATATTGGGGATGTTAAGTTGAACTTTAGCCAAGCCAGAGAGCACTTCCATTGCAGCTAGAGCAATGTTCAAGTCCTGTTTCCATGTAGCCATGAGCCTATTACACACTAGAGATGCCGCATGGCCAAATAAACCATGGGAGGTATCTGAAAAACCATTACAGTTCAACTCAAATCAAAATTACACTTTAAAATAAGAAATATTCAGGAAATTAACTTGTATACATATTACTTCTTTACTCAAATTTTCCAATTGTGAAATACAATAAGCAATTGAATTTCCCTCTAAAATCTGACTGACATTCATTGATTTTCTTGCATTTCAATACAATTTAGAACACCAACTTTGTCTGTTTACCATTTTCCATGTTGATTCCTCTCTGTACCACCTCATTTTGGAGTTCAAAACATGACTGCAATATAACAAACATTGTGAAAACTTACCATACTCCTGATGTGCCGGGTGTGCATGCATGCGAGGAACTTGTTCACCTGAGTCAATACTCCTAGAATCACTATGCGATCCATGGTCTACAAATCAAACATGCAAGCATTCACATTATGTCATTGGGACATACAGCATAAGGGACAATGTGTCATTTTTATGCAAAAGTAATTTTGATTGGTAGGCTAAGAAGCCATACTATTGTTAAAGTAATTTTGATTGGAAGGCTAAGAAGCCATACTATTGTAAAAGTAATTTTGATTGGTAGGCTAAGAAGGCATGCTATTGTAAAGGTAATTTTGATTGGTAGGCTAAGATGGCATACTATTGTAAAAGTAATTTTGATTGGTAGGCTAAGAAGGCATACTATTGTAAAAGTAATTTTGATTGGTAGGCCAAGAAGCCATACTATTGCAGTGCCAATTAATGCCTGTTATCCTGCCGTGATGTCATTTCAATGTCAGTTTTAATTGAGGGGAGGAGGTCTGATAGTTTGTTCAAGTACCTTTGCATAAACACTGACATTTTGTGAACTTTCATGAATAATACTTCCTGATATCTTAGAGTTGGCATTTTTATTTCTGCATCTAATTTTGCATACACTACCATGCCAACAGAGTGCTTAATAAGGAGTTTGGGTCTATGGTGTTTAAATTATGGATCAGTTCTCATGTTATTTTACTATACATGCTCTGTGCCTCTGGGCAGGTACTTATATTTCACTTAGCATGCTTGATAATCAGTCAAATATTCACCAATATTGTTTTGTTCAATAAAATAAACACTGTTAATTCCTCTTTTGATCAGGTCAACTGATTAGTTAAGATCCATGCTTGTTATCTCATTTTATATCAATCCATGTTTGCTAGTTAATTCTACACTACAATGCAACTCTATATACAATGCTATGTAGTTATTACCGGATCCACTTTCTGGTATAGTTTCAGGGCAAGCATCGGTTGTCTGTTGAACCATGGTCTGTTCTACCTCCTCACACATAGCCAGATCTTGTACGCAGAGCATCAGGCCCCCTGGATTATATAAAACATACTCTTATTTTTACATGAGTGTATGGACAGGCTAAGTCCCTCTAAGCCTTCCTTTATTTTGAGACTTGGTTTTACTAGATGGGCCTTCTTTGAGTATTTTATGCATGCACATCCAATTATTCATAGATCCCTCATTTGAAATCAAGACATGATTTAACATTAAGACAAGTATATGGTTTCATCAATGGTAGTGGCCTTCTTTGATTTTACATACATATATATGGGTTAAATGCTAATAAGCCCTCTTTAGGATACAAACCTAATTGATGTAGAACATGATCAATATCCTTTTATATATACATGTAACTTCCCAAATAATTTTCCCTACCTAGCAACATCTGTGTGTTCATGGAGTCAGTTTCAATGGTAAGGGCCCTTAGTAATAGCTCTATCATACGCATCTTCAGTGAAAGGAAGGTAGTAGGCTGATCCCTTAGCTCACTAGGTGGTACAATATCTAAAATAGAAATGCAGGTTAAACCAACAAACATGGTTAAATGCTAACAAACACTTGGGATTTTTTAATTGTGAAAAATATATAGATAACAATTAATACAATGTATTTGTTTCATAAAACCTAAATGTTGCACATTTTGAAGTAGCAAGGATATTTGAGTTTTTTAACAACATATTTATACTTGTACAATGTACCTCCATTGGTGGAAAACCTACCAAAAGGAACAGTTTTTAGAGGTTCTAAAGGTGTTCAACTGAGAAAGGTTTTACTGTATTTGGGCACTTTATACTTTCACTACTTCTATCTATATTGTCCCCAAGTTGTAACCTACCTTTAATCTGCAGAGACTTGAAATGTAGTGGTAAACAAAGCATTGTCCCCAAGTTGTAACCTACCTTTAATCTGCAGAGACTTGAAATGCAGTGGTAGACAAAGCATTGATATGAGGAGGTGAATTGAAGCCTTTCTCAGCTCCACTTGTGGTATCTGCTCATGTGGTCTGTAAATAATATAAATAACTAAAATATATATGAATTCTAATATGATACGTGATGTCACAATAGCTAGAACAATTGATTTACTGGTCTATCTTGGAGTATGTATGACTGATAAAATTAATAAATGCAAATAGTTGTTTCTTGTCTGTTTATCATCTTAGAATCGTGGCAAAGACCTCGATTTTATGATTCATGTCAAATATATGACCTCAAATTTTATTCTGGCCTAGCAAAGACCTCAATCGCTACACAATTTCAGTCTTTTAATGCATGAATGAACAGAATCAAATTTTCGGACATATGTTACGTCGTAAATCATAAAATCTCGGTCTTTATTCCTTAAATAAAAATCATTTGAGGTGGATATATTGAGATAAGCTACAGGCCCGTAGCCAGCTTTTGGCAAGGGGGTTCACTTTTCATAAAATTTCAGGGGGAGGGGCTCTCTTTTGACAACTATGGTCCAAGCCCTCTGGCTACGGGCCTGATCTACAACATGCTAAGAAGTGGGTTAAAAAACTGTTTAAATATGTTATATAATAAAAATCAGAGATTTCCACATCCCACCAACCTCTCAATGAATGACATAGAAAATTGGGAGAAGTTGAAGCATACCTAAACACTGGTTTCAGGTCCATTAGTACAAGCTCCAAGGCTGAGAGAATTTGAGGCACCAATACATGGACACCATCTAAGTCTATCCTTAACAGATCACTAGAGTTGAACAACAGGTTAGAGAGCACCTGGCCACTGATGGACTGAAATGAGGAGTAAGAATACAGTGTGTCAACAGTTTTTCCAGAATTTCAGTTCAAGCTTTACGGAAAATTTCAAGAGGGATAATTTTGAGATTCAATTGTATTGAGAGATCTAAAAGTAAGGCTATATTACACCAACTAGAAAATTTAACACTTATCATATATTCTATCAATGTTTCCTTATAATATCATCATGAAGTCATCCTCAAATACTATTGAACAGTAATCCATTGAACTGTCAACTGTCAAAACTCATGAGCAACCAGCATCTAGTTCTTCAATTGAGGCATCAAGAATACATATTTTTGTTATCATGAAACTTATTGGAAAACTGCAGGGTAATTTATAATGAAAACCTACCTCATCAATTTGTAGACCATAAAACATTGCAATGTAAAACCTAGATAAATACACAGGTAGAATATCCTCGCCTGTTTTATGTGCACAGAATATTCTACAGAGGGCACCACCAGCCTCTGCTCGGCCAGCTTCATAGACATTTGATTGTTTTTCAACTGATGCAACTTCAGAAGGATCGGGCATTGAACGACGCTTTGCCTGCTCTTCTAAAAAGCTTGTTCTTCTTGATGGGGGAACTAAAACAAAAGACAGTAAGGTTAATTGGTCTCATAGTTTTTCAATTATTCATAAACTTTTATTTAGTCAATTTGATTTAGTGTCCAAGTTGTTCCATAAACAAACAAAACATTTGACATATATTTCACGAGGAAGTTCACAATTGTCAAGTTATTTTCCCATGTACATGTATAATGAAAAATTCAGCTAGCCCAGATCAAGATCAATTGGCTGTGGATAGGACACCCTGATCATATATATCCTCACTTACCACTAGTGCTGTGACTGCCTTTGAACTTAACACCAGCTAGTGCTGCTTCACACAACCATGCACCAAATAGATGTAAGACACTATTGCACTTGGGTCTGTTGCTAGCCAATGGGGGCCTGGAGTTCAGGGTCACCTGACCAACTATTGTGTTGCTTGGGGTGATAGCTGTATTTGTAGATTGTTTGGTGTGACCTTTTTGTTCTAGATAACAGAAAAGTTAAGACATATGTGAATGGTAGTTAATTTTTACAATATGCTCCATTGCTGTAAATTTTCTCAAAGCAATCATTGTTTCAAGGTTATGGAGAGGAATCTTTTAACTTTTAGTTTATTTGAAGTCAAAGATTTGAAATAGAATATTAACTGTCACTCACTTGTTGAACCTGATGCCATACTGAACACCTTTTTCCTATGACCAGGGGGTGTCCCAGGGGTGCTGCCAACAGGTGTTGAGTGGCGAGATGAACTAGGAGCAGGGGCTATCAGAGGTGGTGCTAAGGCTGCTACAGCACACACATCAGCATCTTCCAAGGCTTGCGATATGCCTATAATAACACATGTTGGTGTATAATTATAATATAATCACCGAATGTTATCGATGCGGAGAACCAGCTATTGCATTTCAAAATCACATGCATATGTACTGTGATGGTAGAACAATGGTAAATTGAAGTGATAAGACTGTAATCTTTAAGTGACTAACAAAACATTAATAAAGGAAGTAATGTTATGCAGCTTCTACGATGATAAGAGCTCAAAAATAGATATTGCACAAAAATATAATGTGAATTGCTCTAAAAAGGATATAGAGCCTTCTCAATAGTTTTGATTATGTAAGAATGCCCCATCATAATTTAAAAGTATAACTTACCCAAATAGGCATCCACTAGTACAGAAATGCTTCTCATGGCCTTATAAAATATCTGTGGGAGATTTTTCAAACATTCGTGTTGTGATGGATCAATCACATTCTCACTTGAAAGAGCCATATGAAGGAACTTGGGTGTCTGACTGATAACTTCAGCCTGACATAGATCCACTGGGTTGGAGAGGGTATGGAGGAATCTAAACCATGTCTGAGCTATAGCATCGTTAGACATCTCTGGTGGTACAATAACAGGGTCCTCTTCAGCTGAAAATTTGTCGCAAAATATATTTGATGAATATGATGTTTTATGGTTAATAATAATTCTAATCCCAGAAAACTTACAGGGCATGGAATAAATTGAGTGTTACACTTTTTATTTGAACAACATTGTTGATTTTACTTTGGGTATATCATCAGAAAGCAATTGGAATGATCTCACCAGAATTGAATTATGTATTGGTTGGTTCCCAGTTTAGATTTTAAATATTATGCTTGAATTAAGCTGAAAAATACATTTTGAGCATAAATATAAACAAAAATTAAAGAATCAAAGATTGCTCACCAATTTGCAGCTCAGGATAGTCCTCTCCATACATGAACTTCAAAAGTTTTGCTGTCAAGGCAACATTTGTTTTATGCCACTGAATAACTAGAGCCTCATGATGTCGCCAGTAGCTACACATATCTCTAAATGTCTTCCATAATGATGGTCCTGGGAAACACTTGGCACAGGCAAGCAACCAGATTTCAAACAGGACACCAAGCACCCGCTCACAAAGCAAATCTCCTATCCCCTCTATAAGTGAAAATATTGTGAGACTTTTCAGTTGTTGGATGTTTAAGGTAAAATAATATACTGAATAATTACACTACATTTGTCTAGTACTAGAAGTAATAATAAAAATCCTTTACTAGTCATGTAATCAATAGTCACCTCTTTCGATCTGATCTGAATGGGATTCGACAAAACAAATTTCTTTAGATTAACATTCTAGTCAGCCAAGTAATAAAATGGCCAATGCTAGGGGGGCATTGGAGCAACGTTTTCATTGATTCCTGATTAGAATTGCAAATAATACAAAACCTCATTACAAACCTTTAACAGTTGGTGGAGCTAAGAGAATATCACAGATAGAGAGTAGGAACTTGAGAAGTGTCTCCCATGTGTCACTGGAGAGAGTGTATGAATCCTTAGCCAGGACTTGAACTGTTCTCAGCACTCTATGGCACAGGATGGTCTGTCTCTTGACCAAATCAAACCCTAAAACAGAGAATAAAATAATATTACAATACTTGTAGATTTTGTCATCTTGACTTGTCTGTGGTATTTATTTCAAAGAAACTTAACAAGGGCTCAGAATGGATATTTGTTGTTGAGTGATGTCACAAACTTAGGGGATCAAGGTTTGATCTCTAAATGTGGCTTGAACACATTTACAATACAGTTAGAATACAGAACTATTTAATACACATACATGTACATGAATTTTCAGATACATTTATGAATTGAAATCTTTCAGCATTGGTAACAATGTTATTTTGAGTTTGTGTTTTTAGAAGTAACAAGGTAATGTACCATATCTGCTTTCTACAATAGCATAAGAGAGAGTGAGGAGAACTACAGGGGGCACAATGCAAGACTTGAAGAATGAATTCTCATGCCCTTTTATTTTGTAATTGACAAAGTTGTTCACCTGCATCAGACCTAGGCACAAACAGGTTGAAGAGATGGTGTAGCATTGTCTGTGTGTAAGCATTTGGATCTTCTAGAACAGGTAGTGGCACACATGTCTTAGCCATTGTCTGCGCGGAGATCCATTCGCAGTAGACATTCACGCAATCTTTTATGGCTTCATGTTCTTGCAAAGGTAAGCTTAGTCCAAAGCAAATAACCTAAAATTAGAGAAAATGCTGAAATTCATATCTTTAATTTAGAATAGCATGGGTAAAAAGGCAGACCGATTTTTGCATAATCATTCATTGAACGCTTAAAGCAGGAGCTAATAATGTAAAATCAATCGAAAAACTGTGGGTTATATTCAATATGAAAACTGATCTGTAAATCAATAACTATAAACCTCACCTCCATTGTCCATTTTACTTCCTTATCAGTCTTTAGTCCACTAACATCCCCATTCTCTGTGCTAAGGCTGAGGTTCTGAGCCAAACTACGGACAACAACAACAGCTACATCTTTTCCAACTGAACTAGGAAATGATGTATGGAGAACACTTTTGTTGCCAGTGTCACTCTGGATGGCATTTTGAAGCGATGTCCATTCTGCATACATTCTGTATGGTTTCTCGCTAAAAGTATAAAGCATCAGACTAATAGAACTTCTCAAATATTGGAAAAACTTGCAAATAAACACATTGTGGAATAAGCTTAAACAGGCCCTAGCCTAGATCCAACTAGATGCCTATGACTACACAAAAAGAATGCTAAAATACCCAGGAATCTATTGAAGTACATGTAGGTATCTTAGTGTAAGAGGCGTAGAAAATTCTCTCATGTTGTAATCGTACAGGCAAAAGATTGAGACGTTCTCAGGACTATAGACCCTATAGTCCTGGCACGGGATAAATCATGAGCATGTTCTCTCTCAGTGCCGTGCATGTGCAAAGTAAAATTTGAAATCGTGGAAATGGCGCTTATTTCAGTTTAACATCAGCTCAACATCATCATTTCAAAACTACGGTAATAACTAGAGTCAGTACGTCTATTTCCAAACACCCCCATCAAAAAATGTAGTTAGCTTGGCTGTACTGCACATCTATGCTATGATTCTATATATATAATGTGTATTATCCACTGTAGAATGCATTTGCAGAAAAAATTACGAAAAATTGTAAAAAATATCTGGGTTATTCCATTTTTACTACAAGGTATTTTAGGGGGGTAATTCCGAACAGGAGTTTTTTTGGGGGGTAAATCCGAACACTTGCATGGGGGTAATTCCAAACACTTAACTTAAACTTAATTGTTTTAATTATTAGATTGATGGTATATCATTATATGATACCCTTAACTTATGATACTGGATCCTGTCACCCCTGCATATCAGGAAACCCAAATTTAAATCATTTATTACTGACATCTATTTATTTAAACGCACTGAGTTTGTGGGGGTAATTCCAAACACTAGCATGGGGGTAATTCCGAACACCTAAATCATCATAATTGATTATTTTATTGTAAGATTGTTGGTATACATCATTATATTGTATCTTTCAGGCTATAAATATTATGTAGAGGTAGTAGAGGTACTATTATTCAATTCAATGATCTGCTTGCCATTATTTGGAACCCTTTCGTGTTTACCCCCCTGTTTGGATTTGGACGTATTGACTCTATTGAAGTTACTCGCTTCACACTAAACTTGTAGTGAAGACTCAAAAAACAACAGCGAACATGGAGAGATCCATTTCAATGGTAAATGAGGTCTGTTTATAAAATTTGTTATCGAACGTGCTGAATACTACAGGTCATCTTTGGGAATCCCCCCCCCCCCCCTAATGTCTTACTGAGTAACTCTCTAGCCTGATAAAATTTTTAGAAAAATACAGGAAGTAAGCCAGTTCATGGACAAAATACGATTTTAATCAAGTCATTTTGTCGCAAACCGATACGTAATCAATAGGAAATCTAATTAATATTGGATTAATACCTTAAAAGCGCGGCATTAGTGTCTTGTTAATGCAATATATAGCATATCTTCTTAGAGTTCATAACAAGAATTTTTTTTCTCCATTTTTATTTTGTCACGTGATTTATAACAAGGAATATCTGACTGTTTACAAAGTTCATTATGTCTGTAATGGGAACAACCATACTATTTCATATCCCCTTTTTGATTAAAATATTTTAAATTAGTTTGAATATACAAAACTTAGAAAATATGATCAATTATTAGATTGAGTTAGTCTCTTTGTTTTGTGGATTCATTGCTTTGTCATTAGACTACCGCGCCATATTGTCTCAGAAGTTGTCCATTATATTACCATATATTTCATGTATTTATCCGTTCAGTAGAAGGCAAAATAGAATGTATTGGTTTTCAATTTAAGAAGCGTTTAGGGTTATCTTCGAAATGATTGAAAGTGTAAGTATTCACATTTTGTAATGGGTTCAGATCAGATCAATTTGGACAGTGCTTTTTATTTTGGGCCTTTCGGCTTTTGTTTTTTTCAATTTTCATTGTGGGGTAAAGCCATTCTTTCATATGTGTCTATAATTTGCTATATATTATATATTATGTTGATGTATTAACAGTAACTCCATGCAGCAGATTTGTAAGAATGTCCTGCAGGCTGAAAAATTACATCTTTCACTTTCAATATAGACTTTCTAAGGCTGACTGATCTGGATATAGAACAGCCTTTGCTCGCCTCCTATATCCGGTTAAGAATAGTGACAACTGAAAAACTGAAATCAACTGCTTTTATTATATCTAATGTTTCCTACATCTTTATCCTTTGTTTGCGAAGAATCTGGAAGTTATCACGAAGTAGCATTTGAAATCACCAGAGATTCTAAACGAGAGCTACTGGAAGTTCAGCATTTTGATGAAGTTCATTTGGAAATCCCCGTAGATTTTGAACACTACTTTTGTTTCAAAATTGCCATTTTGGTATCTTAAATATCCACACTTTCTCCCTGGAGTGTGGCCATTAAGAGAGCAGTCACTGACTTCAAATTCAATTTTAAAAAGTAACAATTTCTGGGCCTACTGTTACATCTCTAATCACAATCAATATGTGCAAAAAGTTAGGTCTTTAAAGTTTCTCAAGCAATATTCATAAGAAACTGAAATCTGAAACTGTAATAATAACATAAATAATCAGACGACTGTTTTTTTCTGCATATTGTTTATTTGTTTGCATTCTCCAAAAAGGTTGGACTTAATACTATGTCTAGTATCGATAAATAAAAATAAGGAATTAATTGATCATAGCGGAAATTCTAAATATAATACAAGTATAGTCAGGTCACCAACTTTAGTATTATGTGCGTTAAAGCTTAATACATGTGCATTCATTTTTGAATCCCTTTTAAACCCTCTGGTTGGGATCATGGCCTTTCCCATGTTGTGACATTCTATAGTCAATTTGATCAATACAGTATATAGTTTTGTTATTTCAGCATTAAAAAGAAGTATTAAACACACAAGCAACATGTGGGAGCAAGACAGAGAACAAAAACCTCCTGTTTACAAGTTGGACAATTTGGCAGTAGGACTAACTCAACTCCGCAATGAAAACATTCTCTGTGATCTTTTGATACATTTAGAAGATGGCTCCACAGTATGGGCTCACAAAGCTGTTGTCTGTGCTGTCAGTCCATACATTCTACAACTTTGCCAAGCAGAACAAAGTAAATCTCAATCCATGATGTATATCAACTTGAACCATATTAATGTCACAAATGAATCCTTGCATTTGATCGTGAACTATATGTATGGATGTGAGATCGTTGTGTCATCGGAAAACCTCCAGGACATGAGAGCACTGGCTAATGTCTTACAGTTAGAAGATCTGAAGGAATCTCTGTCTGAGAATTTTAATGTTGAGGACCATGATGAGGCCACTCAACATGAGAAAGCATCAGCATATAATGAAGGTACATTCACTACTCATTGTTTAACAAGTGGTGATATATTGTTGTTATAGTCTCAAACTATTTTGTAGACAGTTTTTGGTGTTTGGTAGTCAGTGTCTGTAACAAATGGCAGGTGGTGACATTTTGCACATTAATGCCTCGTTTTTGACTTCTCAGCTTTTACATAAATTTCAGCCTCTACTCCTGGGTTTAGTGATCAGCCACGAGTAATGGATCAAACTGAGTCAACTCTGATCATTTATACTCAATATAAGATTTAATTTAAGTCACATGTGTTTTCCTGTAACTGTGAACTATACTGGTTAAGGTTCCAAAGCTTCACAAATTAAACCCAACTCTTATTAAATAAATAAAATAAGTGCAATAGTAACAGTTGGGGCATCATATGTCTTTAAAATTGATTATTAGGATAAAACATAACTTGAATTTATTTTTATTTTTCAGCAAGTGGTTTAAGTACAAGCATCAAAGTTGAACCATGTGAAGATATACTGGACACTAGTAACAATATAATAAGTTTATCACCAAACATTGAAAGAGACTACAATAAGAACAACAGTACAAATCATACAGACTTTGATATTAAACTAAATGATGCTGATGACATGGATGATGCTGAAGCAGATGATTATGATGACAGTGTTGGAGATATTGAAACTCCAACTAAGAGAAGGAAGAAGTCAATGTAAGTATCTTTGAATATACAAACACATGTCTCTAGCATAGCCAGGATGAGGCAGACGGGGCAAGCTCTTTTAAGATCCTTTGAGAGATATTCTTCTATTAATTAAGTTGAACTTTTATTGATTTTAAATCATAAGTCATCAATTTTTGATTCAGTTTTGCATAATCTAATCATGAAAGAGTTACCATTGTGTACTCCAATTGCCATTGTCAAACTAAGTTCATGTTTTAATGTCGTTTTACCTAGGCTAACTTTACATTCATATTTCAGACATATCAACCATTTTGGATTTCTATGCCTCATCACTTTTTCTTTCTATATCTTTTGCCTCGTCGCTTTCTTCCTGGCTATGCCACTGCATGTTTTATTTGTCATTGTCCCTGGCAGAATGTCATGGTATCATGAATTCCTGTTCTAATTCTGAAGAGTAATGGTTTCGACAAAAATACAAAGAATTGCGTCTTGACAAAACTAATTTTAAAAAATATGAGATGTTATTGCATTTGCAATTTGGTGCTTAATCGTTCAAAATTTGTATAGATGAAATGCCTTTATTTTCCATTGTTCATGTTTCATGGTTGTGATAAATATGATACCATTGCATTGAGCTTCAGGGACACATCCCTGATATGAAACCAGCTGTCTGCACTTGAGGCATTACATTGGTATAATTTAGTACGCACATCTTCCATTCACCACATTCGATGCAATAGTTACCTCCCCATTATTGGATCATCTCTGAGTACTGCATATTGCGGAAAAATTCTAAGAATTACATTGCCACTCTGTTGGAATCCATAAACACCTTGTTAACTTGATGAGTTTGAAATATATTGAATTTGTATCTTGTTGAAAAAATACCTGGAAAGATCATTGAGTTATATTAAAGAGTTGAGTTTGCTATTTCACATTGGATCCATTTGTGTTTTGTGTTTTGTCACCACAATGCAAATCTTGAATTGAAATTTTTTTAAATATACATTACTGGTTTTTAATTTACTCCGATCTTTAACCTGTAGCTTTGCCTAATACTGTGTGCAGGTACAGTCCAAAACTGGCCTACCTGAATGACTATCATAGGATGACTATTGGCTCTGCTTGAAAATTCTAGACAACAACATTTTAGTTGCATTTTTAAGCAAGTGCCATGGTATGCAACTATGCATATATATGTACATGTATATCTAAGTTAATGTTGTATACTGGTAAAGCTAATACACGCTTACATGAAGAGATCATACATTGAATCAGAGATATAATATTAAAGACATACATCTGCATTGTTTCATGAAGTTGTCTACTCAATTGCAGTATCAGTGATCTCCCTATATATTCTGTATTTATGGTTTGCATAGTGAGCTTTAATACTAAGTGAGAAATTAATCTTGAACAAATTGAGAAATTGAGAATTTCCAGTCAGCTGAGAAACATACTAGGGAGATCACTGATTCCACTCTGTAATACAGTTTGAGATATTAAATGATACGCCTTGTTTTGCTCATATTCCTATTTAGAATAATTTAGTTAAGCATTACTGAATATTATACTTCTCTGTATTTAAGTTAAACAAAGGTGCTGTACCAAATATCTAAATTTTATTCATATGGTTTATAATTGGGACATGATGAAATTACATTACTTTACCATATTTTTGACTTTTTTTGTAATAGTTAAGATAAAATGAGAGTTCAAGCCTTGTTAGCAGTTAGGGTGAATCACTGGGAACACTGCTTTTTAAAATGTAAAAAATCAGACCTAGTTTTGATTGATGCAATTTAGCAGTCATTTTACTCAAGATAGACAAGGAAGAAAAAAACGTCCAACAGACTTAAAATTACAGACTTAAAATACAAGAAATGGACATAGATGCTATTATAAATGAAATTAAAAAAGAATCAGAACTCAACAACAAAGTCAATAAACATGCAGTCAACATTAAGTAACATAGTTGTGGCAGAAAATGAAGTAGTTCAAGAGGATCTATTATATGTAGTATATATGATCACTTAGAAGCAGACAAAAGAAAAAAGTAACAGTATATAGATGTAGCTGAGGAAATCAGAGAAAACACATGAGATAGTGCCAAGAGGAATTTAGAAAGAGATATTAAGAAATTAATATGGCTTTCTGGACTTTGATCTATATTCAATAAGAAAATTATGTTGTGACAGAATATTTTTACAGAAATATTTTTGCAAATGCATTGTTAGTTGACACTCAATGCACTCATTGAGCAAGGACCATAAATTATTCATTTCAATTTGATTTAAAAAAATGCTCATGTCTAAAAATATGGGCAATTTATCTATCATAGCGCGATCAAGATTTCCGATTGATTCATGGGGTCATGGGTTTTATTTTCTAGAATCTTGGCCACAAATTTTCATACTTTGTACATTGTCTGCCTTTGAATTATAACATGAATAACAATGATATAGATGTCCTTAATGACCTGATAAATTTCTGCATATCAGACACAAAAACACTTTACTCATACAGCTTACTACATGTATTTACAGAAAAAAGGAACCATTATCACACGCTGAAATTTCTCCACCAGATGGGCCAATGCCTGAACTGGACAGTTCAAACATTTCCCTGGCAACAGCAAGTAAATTAACAAAAAGAAATTCAAAAATAAACAATGCAGATTTTTCTAAATTTGTTAAAATCGGAGATAAGCGGTATAAATGCCTGATATGTCATGCTGAAGCAACATTCAAATGGAGCATTATTAGACATTTAATACGGCATGACAAACAAAAAAATTGTTTGGAATGTCCAATTTGCTTCCAGAAGAACTTTATTTACCCAAAGGAGTTGGAAAACCATATCAAAGTAGAGCATATGGGTATCAAACCAGTGTGTGAAGAATGTGGTATGCAGTTCAAAAGTACATTCACATTAAAGAGGCATATAAGGAGTATCCACAAAAAGGGAGGTAAAGACATCATTTGCGATGAATGTGGCAAACACTACCAAAGACAAGATTCATTTCTTGACCATCAAAGAAAACATCACCAGGGAGTTACTCTTCCTTGTGTTTCCTGCAATAAAGGATTTGCTAATGCTAGTAATAAAAGACAACATGAAGCAATATGCGGAAAGACGCTTGGTGTAGTGTGTGAAATATGTAGTAAAGTATTTAAATCCAGAAAGATTTGTAATCGACACATTAAAGATGTACATACTCAACTTGAGCCCCAGCTTCATATGTGCAATGAATGTGCAGCTACTTTCAAATACAGGAAAAGTCTGTTGAGGCATGGTCGTATGAAAGGACATAATATTGATAACACCGTAGAATAACACTAAATGACTTTGGCAAAGGATTACTATTGATAAGACTGTAGAGTAACATTATGTCTGAATCAAATGACAATATACATAAGTACCTTAGAGGAGACTGTAGAATAATACGAAAGCAAAGGATATAGTCTTGATAAGACTGTTACTATATGACTAAGGCAAATGCCATACTATTGGTGAAATTGTGTAGAAATATCCTAAGCACAGGTTTTTGTGTCACCACCAAAAGTGGTGATCACCACCAAAATGGTGACATATTGTTATGGTCTCAAACTTTTTAGTGACAGCAGTTGGCATCCTACGTCTGGGGTTCTGAAATACTCATGTATAAAAGTAAAGGCAATTTGATCCATCACATTGTAATCAAGGTTTTAGATTGATTCAAAGGGTTGGACATTTCATTTCTAGAATCATGGCCACAAATTTTCATACTACTATAGCATGAATAGCAATGATGTAGATATCCCATATGGCCCAGATTTTCTACTCATCAGACATGTAAAAATGCTTTACTCATACAGAATACTTTACTCATACAGCTTCCTCACATGTATTTACAGGAAGAAAAAGGGACCAGTATCACACGCTGAAATTTCTCCACCAGATGGGTCAATGCCTGAACTGGACAGTTCAAACATTTCCCTGGCAACAGCAAGTAAATTAACAAATTCAAAGATAAACAATGCAGATTTTTCTAAATTTGTTAAAATCAGTGATAGGCGGTATAAATGCCTGTTATGTCATGCTGAAACAACGTTCAAGGGGAGCATTATTAGACATTTAATACGGCATGACAAACAAAAAAATTGTTTGGAATGTACAATTTGCTTCCAGAAGAACTTTATTTACCCAAAGGAGTTGGAAAACCATATCAAAGTAGAGCATAGGGGTATCAAACCAGTGTGTGAAGAATGTGGTATGCAGTTCAAAAGTACATTCACATTAAAGAGGCATATAAGGAGTATCCACAATAAGGGAGTTAAAGACATCATTTGCGATGAATGTGGGAAACACTACCAAAGACGTGATTCATTTCTTGACCATCAAAGAAAACATCACCAGGGAGCTACTCTTCCTTGTGTTACCTGCAATAAAGGATTTGCTAATGCTAGTAATAAAAGACGACATGAAGCAATATGTGGAAAGACGCTAGGTGTAGTGTGTGAAATATGTAGTAAAGTATTCAAATCACGAAAGACTTGCAATCGACATATAAAAGATGTACATACTTGTTTTCAACCTCAGCTTCATACATGCAATGATTGTGCAGCTACTTTCAAACATAGGAAAAATATGTTGAGGCACAGTCGTATGAAAGGACATAATATTGATAAGACCATAGAATAACACTAAATGACTAACCCCCCTATCAAACCAAACTTAAGTTCTTACCCGTTCTTGCCAGTCCTACGAAAATGTTGTGAAACGGGCTCAATCTGGCTGTGGTCGGGAAATATGTCTAAGATAATTAGCTACTTTGTTCATAAGCAGTCTTCAATATGTCCATCTCATTCGCAGTTCGTTCAGGTCGCACAACGTTGGCGTGCAACTAAGGCAAATGCCATTATATTGATGAAACTTTAGAAAAACATCAAGCTATATGCCTAAAGAACAAGAATTGTGCAGTTTCTTGAATATATTGATCACAGGTTTTTATTATCCCACCGTACGAAGTTCGAGGGGAATATATGAAAACTGTCTGTCTGTCCATCTGTTCGTTTTTCTGGGCGATAACTCAAATACCATGATGATATGATTCAAATTTTATAGGCTTATTTCTTTAGGGGGTAGAACCTCTGCTCGAGAAGGAATTTTCAATATGACTGCTCAATTAAAAATGGCTACCATTTTTTGTAAAAAATGTAATCTTTGATAAATCAAACACGAGTTGACAGATTTGGTTCAAATTTTATATGCTGATGCCTAGGGTCAAAGGAGCTTTGCTCCAGATGGCTGCTGAATTTCAAAATGGCTGCCAATTTTTCATAAGATAGTATAATCTTTGATAACTGAAATACCAGTAGACAGATTGAGATTTCATTCAAACTTTATATGCTGATGCCTAGGAACAAAGGAGGTTTGTTCAAGAAGACATTTTCAAGATGGTGGCCGAATTTCAAAATGGCCACTATTTTTTTAAAAGAACGTAATCTTTAATAACTCAAATACCAGTAGACAGATTTCATTCAAATTTGACATGCTAATGGCTAGGGACAAAGGACCTTTGCTCAAGAAGACATTTTCAAGATGGCTGCTGAATTTCAAAATTGCCACCTATTTGTAAAAAAATGTAATATTTGATAAGTCAAATACCAGAAGACAGATTTGTTCAAATTTTATATGCTGATACCTAGGGACACAGAAGCTCTGCATGATATAGAATTTTCAAGATGGCAGCTAAATTTCAAAATGACCACCATTTTTTGTAAAAGAATGTTATCTTTGATAACTCAAATACGGGTTGAAGGATTGGCTTGAAATATTATATGCTGATGCCTACAGAGAAAGGAGCTAGGTGCTCAAGGAGACATTTTCAAGAATGCCACTTAATTTCAAAATGGCCGCCATTTTTTGTAGGAAATCATAATCTTTGATGATCTGATACCAGTAGACTGATTTGGTTCAAATTTTACACACTGATGCCTAAAGAGAGAGAGCAGCTGAAATGGCCACCATTTTTCATAAAAAGCATAACCTTCAATAACTCAAATACCAATAGACAGATTTGATTCTAATTTCATATGCTTATACCTCGGGACAAGGGAGCTCTGTTCACAAATAGAGAGGTTTTCAAGATTGTCGCTACTCATCAAAACATGTTTTGTTGGGTGGGATTTGCAACTCCATGGAGTTGCCATTTTCTGGTTAAAGGTAGTATGAAGCATCAAGTGGGATGCAAATTCATAATTTTACTTGTATTTATAACAAATAGAGAAAAGGGACCATTGTTGTCTGAAATAAATGAGAAATGTATTTAGACTTAATGAAAACTACATGTGTACGTGTTACTGTTGAATTAAAAGGTCTTTTGACTCTAAACTATTAGAAGGTATACAATTTAATTGCCGAAAATAGACAGTGACTAACATTTATTCGGGTAATTTTAAGTTTCTCAGAAAATGTGTTCTGTGTAGTGGTTTTAGGCTATAGAAATATCGTTGAATACACCCCTTAGGGCTAGGTACAAAAGCTTTCGATATGCAATATACCTCATATCTGCATTGCATAATGTTTAGGTAGAAAATTTGGTGATAAGGTTTTTATGTGGATATGGTTTATATATGTTGTTTAGTATATATGTTTGTCTAATAAAAGGAATAAATTTATTTATTATCTCGACTAAAGAAGATTTTTCAAGGTGTCTATTGAATTCAAAATTGTTTCCATTTTTATGAAAAATGTTATTTTTGACAAGGCATTAACATGACAAAATATCAACATGTAGTTGCTCACAATATTATTGTAGACAATTTTGAAAAAATGGTCAATTTGAAGCAAGTTGAAAAATACCTATTTTGCCCTGAAAAGGTCATTAAAGCTGGAATCTCAAATCTAAAGTCAGATTTGAACTTCTTAGAACTTGCAGATGATTTTGAAAAAAGGTCAATTTGTAGCAAGCTGAAAAAAACTTTTTGACCTTAAGAAGGTCATTGAAGGTCAACTATTTTTTTGACCTTGAGAATATCATTAAAGGTCAAATCTATTGTCAGATTTGAACTTTGAGAACTTCTAGTTGATTTTGAAAAGATTTGTCAATTTGAAGCAAGTTGAAAAAAGACCTTCTTGACCTTTTTTACCTTGAGAAGGTCAAATCTCAAATCTTAAGTCAGATTTGAACTCCTGATAACTTGTAGATGATTGAAAAAATCAATTTGAAGCAAGTTGAAAAAATACCTTTTTGACCTTTTTACGCCAACCGCCAGATGCCAACTGCCAATCGCCGATCACCAACCACCAACCACTAACCACCGTCAAAAAAAAACGGAGACCATAACAATATGTCACCACTTTTTGGTGGTGACATAATAACGTAATTTCTGTATATTTTATCAAAAGGAGACAAAACTAACTGCCTAATGTTATCCCTATTACAAAATCAAAATATATGATTTGATGAAATATATTTTTTGTTGTCCAGAGAGTTGATGTTTTCTTTATGATTAGATTTAATTTGATAAAACTGAACTTTCTGGGGAGAGGTGATCTAAGAATGCCCAGTAGCAACTTCGCGTCTTCAAGCTGATATTTAATTGTTTTTGATTTCCAGAAAAAACATGGATGAGGAAGATAATATTATATCTCCTACAAACGAGTCAATACTTGAATCTGATGCCTCAATTAGAGATGTACCCATAACCACAAAAGATGGGTTTAAGTGCACAATGTGTGACATACATACAACAACGAAGAGTAATATGGCGAGGCATATGAAGCAGCACAACAAGGACAAGTTCTGTCTTCAGTGCACTATTTGCAATAAAAAAGGCATGAGATGTCAAAGCGAATTGAAAAACCATATCAAAGTAGAGCATAGGGGTATCAAACCAGTGTGTGAAGAATGTGGTATGCAGTTCAAAGGTACATTCACATTAAAGAGGCATATAACGAGTATCCACAATAAGGGAGGTAAAGACATCATTTGCGATGAATGTGGCAAACACTACCAAAGACGTGATTCATTTCTTGACCATCAAAGAAATCATCACCAGGGAGTTACCATTCCTTGTGAAATATGTAGTAAAGTATTCGCATCAAGAAAGAGTTGTAATCGACATATTAAAGAAGTACATACACAGACTCAGGTTTATACATGCAATGAATGTGCAGCTACTTTCAAACATAGGAAAAGTTTGTTGAAGCATGGTTATATGAAAGGACATAGTATTGATAAGAACATAGAATAACACTAGATAATGGCATTTGATGTAAATATATAAGCACTAGTGCCATATATTATTATAATCTAATATTGATTAGACTAGAATAAAACTAAAGACTAATAATTGAAATGATATAGTATAGGTGAGACTTTAGAATAACACTAGATGACGAAAGCAAATTATATGATATTGATAAGACTAGAATAACATTATATGACAAAGGCAAAAAATATAATATTAACTAGAATAAAACTAACGACTAAGCAAAATGACATAGTATAGGTGAGACTAGAATAACACTAAATGACTATAGCAAAGGACATAATATTGATTAGACTAGAATAACACTAAATGACTATGGCAAAGGATATAATCAATAATCAATAGTCTACTATTGATAAAAATTAGAACTATGTAACAAAGACAAATGACAATTTTTAGTTCTTAGGTACTTGACTAAGGCAAATGACAATGACAAAATACTTTAGTACTTTAGATGAGACTGTAGTTTTAATAAGACTGTAACTATATATGATGACTAAGGTAGATGTCAACATATTGATGTGACTGTAGAAGAACATATAACCCTATTACAATATTACGCCTAAAGCAAGAAGTATGCAGCGTCCTGAATAATCTTGAGCACAGGTTTTTAACACTTTTAAAAGTTACACAAAGCACTATCAGTAATTCAGTGTTTCTTCAAATAATGTAAGGAATGAATTAATTGTAAACTGTATACCTTGTATGATGAACCAGAACACATGTTCATGTATATTTTTAACAGAACATATCCATAAGACATAAATAATTTATTATGTCACAACTAAATAGTGTTATGGTCTCCGTTTTTTGACAGCGGTTGGCGATCGGCGATTGGCGTCTGTAACAAATTTTTACAACTTCCAATAACTAAAGATACTGTTTTGAGTGACTTCAATTTTTTTCAAAAAATGACTTCAGATTTGAGATTTCACCTTCAATGACCTTCTCAGGGTCAAAAAAGGTCTTTTTTCAACTTGCTTCAAACTGACCAATTTATTTTTTCAAAATCATCTATAAGTTCTCAGAAATTTAAATCTTAAGATTGAACTCATAATACTGTGCAACTAGGTGGTGACATTTTGTCATTGTTAATGCCTTATATGGATGTTTAAAATGATATGTTATAATTTTTTAAGATATCCAGGAGGAATAGAATTTGTGTTTTTCCAATAAATTAACAACCATGGTTTACCTAGAGAAAATAGGGAATGTAAGAAATGCAATAATAACTCATTAGAGGATCTTTATCATTTTATTATAGGTTGTGATAATTATGTTGATATCAGAAAGATTATGATTGAAAATTTGATTAAGGAAAATCCTACATTTAAGAAACTTTCATGTGAGGTATTATATAACATTATTTTAGGCATGGAGTTTCCAATGAAAAATTGGGATAATGTTTTGATTATTTCATGTAAGAATGTCTCAATTATGTACCAAAGAAGATTTTTTAGCTGATTTACCAATGTATCCATTGTTATTTTGGGTCTAAATTTTGCCCATATATACATGTATAATTCATGATATTGTAATTGTCTAATTAGCATAAGGTATAGTGTAAGATTGTTTTAATTGTCAAACTATTCTTCAGTATTGGAGGCTAAATAAATAAATAAATAAATACTGTGAATACTAAATGGGATTGTTGTCATGGCTATTTTGAAATTTTAAATTCAAAATAGCTGCCCCCAGAAGTTTTTTGTAAAAGCCATTTTTAAAAACAAAAAGATACAAAAATCTGACAATAAGTGAATTCTTTAAGGCCGTAGAAATATCAACCAGTAAAATATACATGTATTGATGCCATTCTTCAAACATTAAATAGAATTAAATACACTATTTTTGATAAAATTTTGCCCATATTTTCCTCCTTTTGAAGATTTAACAATTATGCTATCCCTTCTAGTTGTATTTAGAACTTAAATGGCTATAAAATATAACGAGACAGTTAACCTGTTAGGGACATAACATTAGTATTACATAAACAATTTAAGGATATCTATAGTTACATAATTGCTTCATTATGAAAGATTTCTACTGAAATTCCAGGGAGTTGTATGCAGCAGGACAAGAAATCCCAGGAGTAAAGCCGACACGCACTAATTGCTACACCATCGAGTACAAATTACAGGCAGTGGAATACGCTCGTCCTCACAACATCTCACAGACTGCAAAGATGTTCAAATCGAATCGCAAGTGTGTGCGATCGTGGATTCAAAATGAGGCAGAATTTAGACTTATGATGGAACAAGGGAAATCTTATAAAAAGCGATTATCTGGATCGGGTCAAAGATCACATTTTCCACAGGTTGAAACTATTTTATTGAAATGGATAACTGAACAAAGGGCTCTTGCTAACAAGGTAACTGATAGACATCTGCAAGAGAAATGCAGAGAACTTGGTGAAAAAATGGACCAACCAGTAAAAGGAAGCTATCAATGGATGTATAGATTCAAAATACGGCATAGGGATTCCTTGGTCAAATTAAACCAGGGTTGGATTTCTTATAATAATACTGCATTCATTAATCTGCCTAAGGTTGTAGACGCTAGGAAGTCTGTGGACCCTTCTCCCGGATTGTCATGTCCAGCCATTAATAGTAGAGAACATTCGTCATCTCAAGCTTTCGATGATAGAGTGCGATCCGAGGCTTGTGAACCTACATTACCATCAGTAAAAATAAAAGTACAATCTAATGATTATGACATGACATAGTATTAAAAGCTTATCCAGATGATATTAGAACCCTGAGAAATGTGAAGTATACGTTTAATAGTATAGCAAAGACTAAACTATGCGGAAGGAGGTTTTTAGCAATATTGACACATTCAAAAAAATTTCAGTCAATAGATTCTAAGAGATAAGATAATGCTAGAATGTACAAAATCTAATAAAATTATTTATTTTGTATGTCTGTAATTTGTAATGTCATTCTGTACAACGAAATATAGTAAATAACTCCTATTTTGTAGCTTATGAATGATTGTTATTTTGTAATATGGCTGTCAATTTGTCTTTCAAAATGGCAAGTGATGAGTGTGGATTTTATAATATTTTAGTTTTCTTTGATTTAAACATTGTACTATAGTGATTAGGTACTGAATTGTAAATTTGATTACACTTAAAAGAACATGAGTTCCTGACACTCCATCATCTTATATGGTTACAATTTTATTAATGTTAATCAGTTACTTTGTCATTGGGGAAAACAGAAAATTCATGTCAGTGAAATCATGAAATCTGAATGAAATGATTCATGAAATCAAGATTTCAGACAAACCTCCACAGTAAATTGGTTTTAAATTCAAAGAAAACAAAAAAATATTGACATGTATCGCTAAAAAGTGTATACATAATATTCTTTATATGAAAAATAAATATAAATATCATGACTGTATAAAAACATCAATAGAAAGCTACAGTGTGAGTCAACAAGAGTTGTCTGAATCTTAAGTCATATGAAAAAGAATAGTCAAGACTCTACTTCAATTGCTCACATGTATTTATAGAACGAGAGAGAGGAAACTATCCCGTGCTGAAATTCAAAAGAACTATAGAGAAAGACAGAAGGCTAAAGGCCCTGAATATCTGCAAAAAGAACGCTCTCGTATGAGAAGAAATTATGTGCCTATAAGGCATCTGAGTGCGGCAGCTAGAAAGAAAAGGAGAAAAAAGAATTTGGAAAATCTGCGTAAATATAGACGCAAGAAGGCCTTACAACATAAAGAAGTAGTAATCAAAGGGGAAATAAAACAAGAGAATGTACAATAGATGATAACGCTAATGACAAGGATAAAGCTGGCTGATTATTTTAGTAATTAAGCATTGATGAAATATGGATAGACAGTTACAGCATCATGAACTCCAATAATGTTTATGTCTCACTTTATAAATCAGTTACCATGCCAATTTGAAACAATGAATCATGAAGTGGTAAAATATATTATCCTATGTGGTAAAATATGTTGGATTGTGGCATTTAACACAGGTACCCTTTGCATTCGTTCTACTTTGCTTCATTCTCAAAAGAGAGCTTCGTCTTCAATCTTTCAGTTTTCAATAAATCTCTGAACTCACCGAGCGAATCAGACTTTGTCGTCGAAATATGGAAATACTTTCTGTGTAGGGTCCTTTTCTCTGACATAATCACATAATTATTGTGCACACATTTGCCCCTTCCAGCTCGCTGGGTTGAGAATAGGTCAGCGTAGTAGGTGTAAAATGATTTATGAGCCAAGCTGTCGCAGGCATTGGTTGTGGGGTTGGGGTGCTAATATAGTCTATACTACACAAAGGGTAGTTAATAACTAGACCCTGCATGCAGGGTAGAGCACAGGATAATATGAACCATTTGCCTATTTGTGAATGTTCTGTGTCATGTAGGTTTTTCGTGATGGAAATGTCAAAGTGCATATTAAATTTTAATTTGATGGATTGGTAACTAAAAAATATTGACACGTAATGTGCATAACTAGATGTACTGTATTTTAAGTGCCTGACTTTAAAAAGGTGTATATATTACAAAATGCTTTTAATAAAAACAGCAATAAAGAAAAACTTGAAAAACTGAAATTCTATGTTTCTTGTAATATATTGATCATTGAAATTCTTGACAGCTGAATTTTTTTTATATTGTAAGGTAATCTTGATCCTAGTTATGCCTATTCTATAAATTATACTTTCTTTAAGGGTTGTTATGGGTGCTAATGAAACACTTGTGAAGTTACTTGAATATCCCAAAATGTTTTTTGAGATTTATGAATCATTTTCCTTTGTCTGTACCTTTACTTAAGAAAATTTAAAAGTAGATAATGGATTTTCCAATATAATCTGCCTATTGAGACATTCACACTGGAATCATCACTCTATTAATTGCATTTAGTTTAGTCGAATAGTACTCAAGCCCATTGCATGTGGATTTACAGCATCATAAGGAATTCAGAAATGTGTCAGATTTTATGAAGGTTTTTTCAAACCACCACAGTCCTAACATTTGAAGCTTCATCTTTTAGTGCTGTTGCACCATCAGCCTAAGCATGCCCTGGAGTTCTACATAATCTGTTTTTTTGTGTTTTACAGGGACACTTCCTCATCTGAACCTCAATATCAACAGGTAGAGATCTCAGATAATGAAGCAGTCAATGACCAAGATTCCATTTCAACCATTTCCAATGGATCAAGGACATCAGACCAACCACTAGATAAACCTGACACTTCTCACATATCTTATGATCAAGAGATACCTAACAAAGATGAGGAATTGGAGCCCTTGGATATGGCAGTTGAGGAACATGAAGAAAGTTTGAAAGTTCTGCCTGAATCCAAGTCACCAATTACAGCACCAGATGACATTGACATTTCTGATTACATATCTCGGTATCCAGATATTAAAGATTCATATGTCAGACTTGAACATCTATCTAAGGCAGTTGAGGAACAATATAAATCTAAGACCAGTCAGCATGTATCTTTGTTACTAATCAATACACAAGCAGAAAAATATCAAAATGAAGAGCTAGAAATCTCTGATGAAAATATGGAATCTTTAGATGAAGATCAAGTTGAATCAAAATTAGCAATTATTCAGAAGGCCATATCAGAGTTCAAAGCAGATAAAAGCAAATTTAAATCAATGAATGCCACAGCTAAAAAGTATAGAATAGAGCTTGTAACTTTTGAAGAATATTTAGATGGGGTAAGGTTATTAGATAAGAAATTCTATGCATGTAAGAAATGTGGTATCATCTTAACACATGAACGACTCTATCAAAAGCAGGCTGAAATGGAAATAATGCAGAAGGCTATTTTGGATTACAAATCAAATTTTGGAAAAAACAAATCTGAGGAATCAGTGGCAGATAAGTATGCAATACCATACGAGTCCTTTGTAGAATACCTGTATGAAGAAAGACCATTGGATCACAAAATAAATACATGTGAGAAATGTAGTGGAGATCATAAGTATGAAATAAAAACAAGAAATAAGCATAAGAGATTTCATGAACAGGAAACACTTCCTCAATATAAAGAGATGCAGAAAGATCCAGAGGAATCTCAAGAAGAACCAGTGAAAGACCAGGCTGACTCGTCATCATCTTTGGATAAATCAAGGTCACAATCTGAAACACCAGATAACTCTGATACTGCTACTGACAAATCTCACAAGGTCGAGGAAGAAAGCGACTCTCCTGAAGGAGTTGAGAATCAAGATGAATTTCCAACAATTCAGGATGAGTCTAATTCACAAAAAAAATCAAGAACTGATCTTATGTTTGATGAAAATAAGAGAAATTTATGGCAAGAAACAAAGGGTAGAATAGCACATATTCAGGAATCCATTTTAGATTTCAAATCAAATAGAACCAACTTTGAATCTGTATATGCAGCAGCAAAACATTATGAAATAGACTACACGACTTTCAGAAAATATTTAGCTGGGAAAGGAACATTTTATACTTGTGAGAAATGTGGAAAAACAATGAGAGGACAGAAAAGGATCATCTTAGGACATGAAAAACTCCACCAAAAGCAGGCTGTAAAGGAAAATATGCGAAAAGCTATATTGGATTGTAAATCAAATAAAAATAAATCTGCTGCATCCGTTGCATCTGTTGCAAACAAATATGATGTAGATCTGGTATCCTTACAAGAATATGTGTATGGGATAAAATCATGGAATGATAAGTCTTATACATGTGACAAATGTGGTAAGGTTTACGAGCACAAAAGAAGGCTTGTAAATCATATGCGATGTCATGAAGTGATTCCTGAGTATAGGATGAAAAGGCAAAAAGATTTGCAGCCTCAACTAGGGGATCAAGGTGAACAACCAAGAATTTACAGTGAAAATAAAAGACAAGATAACTTTGACAATGGTATTGATGAATCTCAGTATCTGGAGACAAAGGGCACAGAGGAGTTGGAGCCTCAACTAGAAGATCAAATAGAAAATATGGGAATTCCCAATGAATCAATGTCACAATCTGGAACAGCAGAGAACCTTTACAGTGCTACTGACAAGTCCCAGAGTATGTACTTAGAAAAATATCTAGAGTCTCCAGATGGAGATGAAATAATGACAATTCTACATGAATCCAGATCACAAACTGAATCCTCAAATGATCTTATGATTGATAAAATCAAGAGCGAGGTACAACGAGAAAGAAAAGCTAGATTAGCATACATTCAGGAAGCTGTAAAAGATTTCAAATTAAATAGAACCAGATTTGAATCTGTAAAAGCTGCAGCAGAATATTATGAAATATCTTATGTTACTTTCAGAAAGTATTTAAATGGGAGAATAACATTAGACAAAAAATTCTATACATGTGAGAAATGCAACATAACAATGAGTGGACAGAAGCATATAATCTTAGCGCATGAAGTACTCCATAAAAAGCAGGCTAAAATGGAAAGTATGCAGAAAGCTATAATGCATTATAAATCAAATAAAAATCAATCTATGGCATCAGTGGCAAAAAAGTATGATGTCGATTTCATAGATTTCCAAGAATATCTGCATGGGATAAAGTCATTCAAAAAGAAGACTTATACATGTGACAAATGTGCTAAGGTTTACAAGCAAAAAAAATATTTTGAATCTCATATTATGCAATGTAATGAAATACTTCCTCAGATTAAGTTGAAAGGGCAAAAAGAGGAATCAGACTTTCAAGAGCCTGTGAAGAACCATGTTGAGTCATCGTCTTTTTTGGATGAATCAAGGTCACAAACTGAAACACGAGATAACCTTGACACTGCTATTGATGAATCTCAGTATCCCGAGACAAAGAGCACAGAGGAGTTGGGTCCTCAACTAGAAGATCAAATAGAAAATGTGAGAATTCCCAATGAATCAATGTCACAATCTGAAACACCTGGTAACATTGACAGTGCGACTGACAAGTCTCAGAATGCAGAGAAAGAAATTGGCTCTCCAGAAGATGATGAAATGTCAACAATTCTGCATGAAACACTTGATAACCTTGACACTGTCATTGATGAATCCCATAATGCAGAGAGACTGTACTCAGAAAAGGAACTGGAGTCTCCAGAGGAAGATGAGGACCAAGATGCAATGTCAAAAGGTCTACATAGATTTGGGCAACTAACTACAGACAAGGCTCAGTGTCAAGAAATAAAAAACTCAGAGAGAAATTTGGAATCTCCTGGAAGTGAACTAGAAGATCAGAATGATGAAACATCAAAGATAATCCATGAATCTATATCTGATGATGTTGAGTTATGGAATGGGAAGAACATGGCATATGAAGTAAGAAGGGCTAGAGGTGAAAAAACCACAATGCAGCACAAATTAGAGAAAAGAACCCTGAGCTGTAACAGAATGGTAGCAAAACAGAATCGTTTAAAACATAAATTTTTGGGTGATCATCCAAGTACAAGAAAATTATTGGATCTGCCTGATAACATTCAGAAGGAGGGATATTGTACATGTGACAAATGCGGTAGGCAGCTGAAGTTCAATCCAAGAAACAAAAACAATATTATAAAGCACATGCATGTTTGTGGCAAGAAATATGAAGAACGAAAACAAGATAAAGAGGATAAATTATATAATTTTAGAAAAGCGGCACAGAAGATTGAAACAGACAAAACCCTATCTGTGGAGACTGTAGCAAAACAGCATGGAATATCCCGTACTACAATGTATAGATATTTACAGGAATCTAAGTTGTCTCGTAATTGTGTATGTGAAAAGTGTGGTAAGACCTTAAAAAAGGAAAAACTGAAAGAACATATGCAGTTCCATGAAAACTTGGAAAAAGCCTATTTAGCACACAAATTGAATAAAAATGAAACTGCAAGGTCCGTTGCAAAACAGTTTGGCATACCATATAAATCTTTGCATAATTATGTGACGGATCAGATTAAGTTAGGTCATAGGCATAAATGTGAGAAGTGTGGTAAAAAGTATAGGCATAAAATATATCTGAAAAACCATATGAGATTGCATGAAAAGGAATTGAGGTTTAAGCATAAAATAATGTACATGAAAGAAAAAAAAGCTCAGATCAGCAATATTGATAAAGCCATTGAGGAGATCAAATCAAATCCTGCAAGTAGATCTGTTAAATCTGTGGCAAAAGAGCATGATGAATTATTGCAGTCCCATTTTAGAATGAAAAAGAATTTAGAAAGACGTATCAAGATTTATGAAAACATTGATAAAGCTATATTAGAGGTCAAATCAAATCCAAATCAATCAGTGGCATCAGTGGGAAGACGGTATGGAATATCACGGACCACAATGTTTAGACATTTGGATATTGAATGTAAGAAATCAGAATGGAAACTTAAACAGATATGTGAAAAGTGTGGTAGGGAGATTAATCCACGTAGAGAAAATATGAAAGACCATATGGAGTTTCATAAGAAACTTGATAAAGCCATGGAGATCAGATTGAATGAGGGTAAGAATTACTTGTCTATTGCAAAAGATCTTGGCATTAATCCTGGTACTCTGTATCAGCATTTAAGCAAAAAATTGAACAACACATTCAAGCAGAAGTAGAACCTATTTCAAACTTCTGAATGGAGTATCTTAAGCCAGATTTCAACCTGACTGATAGTGTGATATTGAAACAAATTGTGACAGTGAATTATTAGCAACCAATCTGTACCATGCTATGTGTGAAACTTCGAAAGAAGTATGTGAAATAATGAACTGTACATGTTTATCCAAAAGACTTGTATCTGAAAAATAAAATGCTATTGATGAGGTTGAAAACAGTTTTTTTAAATTAAAATTCTTCTGATGGTATTTTAGACATAAGTCTGTGTCAGATATGAATCTTCAACCTTAGAGGATCACAATGTACTCAGTGAATTACTTGCATATTAGATATTATGAAATGTTCATGCACTCCATATAATTTGCATGTCAATAACATTTATTATAACATACATATGATGATGTATAGTGTAAACTGTTCACAAGACAGCGTGTCAATATAACTTTTAAAAAGCCAGCGCCCGCTAACTTTCTAATTGGTCAAGCGCTGTTACTACGTCAGACCTAGGTCAAATTGACTCGTACATTCGTAAGATACAAACATGGGAATAAATCATCATTTCCGAACCATTGCTAGTCAATTAGATAAGAAAATGGTACTCTCTGACCAGACTAGATCATCATAGGTATGTTATAAATCGTTTATGTCACTATAGTTGCACATATGCCCTCGGTTCTCAGTGATCAATGTCCCTCTCAAGGTCGGGCCATATATCACTGAAACCCTCGGGCATATATGCAACGATAGTGACATAACCTCTAACTAGGTGATTTACTTTTTCAAGATTATGTATTTCAGGAAAAAGCTTTTTATTAAAGTATAAAGATGTTATACTAAAATTGAAGAACTTTAGAGACAGAAAATTTTTAAGGCACTAGTATATCATTAGGCCAATCATTCAAGTGACTTAGATATGGAAATTCTGTATGGATGTAATAAACTGTTATAAAATAAACTGCTTTTACAAAAAATAAGCACAATTTGTTTTATGTGACCAAAAAAATATTGATAACAGTTTTATGGGCTCAGTTGGTTTTTTGTTTGCCAATTCCCAGGCAAACTGCTTATAATTTTTTTTGAATATTTGGACATGGCACTTGGCAACCATTTTGGATTTTCCATGCGAAAGTCAAATTTCCTGACAAACACACACTCTCTCCATGGATGTACCTGAAAATCAGATGTTGGGTTTATTTTCAAATTAAAAAAATTGTTGTTTGTTAGTTATTTTTGATTTCATTTTAACTGTGCAATATCAGATGGTCATGGCTGTTTACCATCAATCTTTGATTTAAGGCACCACTGTCATTTTTCATTTAACATGTAATCCTTGATAAACACAAGTACCAGTTGATGGATTTGGATTAAAGTGTATATGCTGATGCCTTGGGACATAGTAGCTCTGCTAAAGAAGAAATCTAAAGATGACAGCTGAATTTCAAAATGGCAACCATGTTTCATAAAATTGATATTATTCAAATACCAGTGGATGGATTTGGCTCAAATTTTATATGGCAACTATTTATCAAAACATGTTTTGTTCGGTGGGATTTGCTACTCCATGGAGTTACCATAGATTTTATTATACACTAGTCGGAGAATAGCGATTGCGCTAATGTTGCCTGTACAGGAAAACCGAAGTTAAATAAATATTATCTTATCTTATCTTTGGAGGGATATAAAGATTAAAGAGTGCCTCAGTCGGTTTGTCCAGGCGATAACTCAAATACCCCTGGACCGATTTTGTTCATATTTTATATACATGTGCCCTATGTCAGTAAAAGTTCTGCTCAAAAGTCAATTTTCAAAATGGCCACTCATTTCACAATGGGGTAATTAGGTACAAATGTAAAACTGTAATTTAATATATGTTTTCAAGGTAAAAAGTTTGATACACAATAATGGCAGTCATCCTGGAAAATGGGGGCAGTATCAAGCTAATTTATATGCCTTTGCTATTTTGCTTCACTTGATCACTCTTAATTTTGAATAAATAGTACTTTAGCATGTGGATTTACAGCATCACACATGTCATAGGGTATTCAGCATTTTGTGAGATTCTATGAAGATTATTCCTAACCATCATAGCCTTTACAATCGAAGCTACATCTTTTTATTAGTGTTGTTGCACAGCCTAAGCATTGCCCAGTTCTACATAATCTGTTTTTGTGTTTTACAGGGGCACTTCTTCAGCTGAACCTCAATATCCACAGACAGAGATCTCAGATAAGGAAGCAATTATTGGCAGAAATTACATTTTCAATGGATCAAGGACATCAGCCAAATCATCAAAAAACCCTGACACCTCTCACATATCTTGCTATCCAGAGATAGCTAACAAAGATGAGGAATCGGAGTCCTTGGATATAGCAGTTGAGGAACATGAAGAAAGTTTGAAAGTTCTGCCTGAATTCAAGCCACCAATAACAACACCAGATGACATTGACATTTCTGATTACATATCTCGGTATCCAGATATTAAATATTCATATGTCAGACTTGAACATCTATCTAAGGCAGTTGAGGAACAATGTAAATCTAGAAAGACCAATCAGCATATATCTTTGTTACCAATCGATACACAAACTGACACTTCTGACAAGTATCAAAGTAAAGAATGTTTTGATGAAAATCTGGAATCTTCAGATGAAGATGAGGATCAAGTTGAATCAAAATTAGCAGTTATTCAGAAAGCCATATCAGAGTTCAAAGCAAATAAAAGCAAAATTAAGTCAATGAATGCCACAGCTAAAAAGTATAGAATAAAATTAAAAACTTTTAGAGAGTATCTACTTGGGATACAATCGTTAGATAAGAAATTCTATGCATGTAAGAAATGTGGTATCATCTTAACACATGAACGACTCTACCAAACGCAGGCTGAAATGGAAATAATTCAGAAAGCTATTTTGGATTACAAATCAAATATTGAAAAAAATAAATCTATGGCATCAGTGGTAGAGAAGTATGGAGTACCGTTTAAGACCTTCGTAGAATATTTGTATGAAGCAAGACCATTGGATCACAAAATAAATATGTGTGAGACATGTAGTGGGGATTTTAAGAGCAAAGGGAAAATAGAAAGTTATCAGAGATTTCGCAAAAAGAAAAAAACACTTAAATATAAAAAACATGTTTGGGATTTTGAGAACAAAGAGAAAATAGAAAATCTTCAGGTATTTTACAAAAATAAAACACTTCCTGAATATAAGAAATCTTATTCATGTAAGAAATGTGGTGTAACAATGAAAACACAGGAAATCTCAGCACATGAAAAACTTCACCAAATGCAGGATGAAATGGAAAGTATGCGGAAAGCTATATTGGATTGTAAATCAAATAAAAATAAATCTGTTGCATCTTTTGCAGCTGTGGCAAGAGCTTATGGTGTAGATTTTATATCTTTGCAAGAATATGGTTTAAAATCATTGGATGAGAAGTCTTATACACATGGCAAATGTGCTAAGATTTTCAAGCGAAAACAAGGATTTGGAAGTCATATGCGATGTCATGAAGTGATTCCTGAGAATAAGTTGAAAAGGCAAAAAAAGTTGCAGCCTCAACTAGGTGATAAAGTTGAACAATCGAGAATTTACAGTGAGACTGAAACACCAGATAACTTTGACAATGCTATGGATGAATCTCAGTATCAAGAGACAAAGAGCACAGAGGAGTTGGAGCCTCAACTAGAAGATCAAATAGAAAATGTGGGAATTTCCAATGAATCAATGTCACAATCTGAAACACCTGGTAACATTGACAGTGCTACTGACAAGTTTCAGAATGCTGAGAAAGAAATTGGCTCTCCAGAAGGTGATGAAATGTCAACAATTCTGTATGAAACACCTTATAACCTTGACACTGTCACTGATGAACCCCAAAATGCAGAGAGACTGTACTCAGAAAAGGAACTGGAGTCTCCAGAGGAAGATGAGGACCAAGATGCAATGTCAAAAGGTCTACATAGATTTGGGCAACTTACAGACAAGGCTCAGTGTCAAGAAATAAAAAACTCAGATAGAAAATTGGAAACTCCTGGAAGTGAACCAGAAGCACAGAATAATGAAAGTCCAACAATTATCCATGAATCAAAGTCTAATGATGTTGAGAAATCTTATTCATGTAAGAAATGTGGTGTAACAATGAAAACACAGGAAATCGTAGCACATGAAAAACTCCACCAAATGCAGGATGAAATGGAAAGTATGCGGAAAGCTATATTGGATTGTAAATCAAATAAAAATAAATCTGTTGCATCTTTTGCAGTTGTGGCAAGAACTTATGGTGTCAATTTTATATCTTTACAAGAATATGGTTTAAAATCATTGGATGAGAAGTCTTATACACATGGCAAATGTGCTAAGATTTTCAAGCGAAAACAAGGACTTGGAAGTCATATGCGATGCCATGAAGTGATTCCTGAGAATAAGATGAAAAGGCAAAAAAGGTTGCAGCCTCAACTAGGTAGTGAAGTTGAACAATCGAGAATTTACAGTGAGACTGAAACACCAGATAACTTTGACAATGCTATGGATCAATCTCAGTATCCAGAGACAAAGAGCACAGAGGAGTTGGAGCCTCAACTAGAAGATCAAATAGAAAATATGGGAATTTCCAATGAATCAATGTCACAATCTGAAACACCTGGTAACATTGACAGTGCTTCTTACAAGTCTCAGAATGCAGAGAAAGAAATTGGCTCTCCAGAAGATGATGAAATGTCAACAATTCTGCATGAATCAAAGTCTAATGATGTTGAAAAATCTTATTCATGTAAGAAATGTGGTGTAACAATGAAAACACAGGAAAAGATGATCTTAGCACATGAAAAACTCCACCAAAAGCAGAATGAAATGGAAAGTATGCGGAAAGCTATATTGGATTGTAAATCAAATAAAAATAAATCTGTTGCATCTTTTGCAGCTGTGGCAAGAGCTTATGGTGTAGATTTTATATCTTTACAAGAATATCTGTATGGGTTAAAATCATTTGATCAGAAGTCTTATACATGTGCCAAATGTGGTAAGGTTTACAAGCAAAAAAGAAGGCTTGAAAATCATATGCGATGTCATGAAGTGATTCCTGAGTATAAGATGAAAAGGCAAAAAGAGTTGCAGCCTCAACTAGGGAATCAAGTTGAACAATTGAGAATTTACAGTGAAACTGAAACACCAGATAACTTTGACAATGCTATTGATGAATTTCAGTATCTGGAGACAAAGAGCACAGAGGAGTTGGAGCCTAAACTAGAAGATCAAATAGAAAATGTTGGAATTCCCAATGAATCAATGTCACAATCTGAAACACCTGGTAACATTGACAGTGCTTCTGAGAAGTCTCAGAATGCAGAGAAAGAAATTGGCTCTCCAGAAGATGATGAGGATCAAGATGAAATGTCAACAATTCTGCATGAAACACAAGATAGCCTTGACACTGCTATTGATGAATCTCAGTATCCCGAGGCAACGAGCACAGAACAGTTGGAGCCTCAACTAGAAGATCAAATAGAAAATATGAGAATTCCCAATGAATCAATGTCACAATCTGAAACACCTGGTAACATTGACAGTGCAACTGACAAGTTTCAGAACGCAGAGAAAGAAATTGGCTCTCCAGAAGATGATGAAATGTCAACAATTCTGCATGAAACACCTTATAACCTTGACACTGTCACTGATGAATCCCATAATGCAGAGAGACTGTGCTCAGAAAAGGAGCTGGAGTCTCCAGAGGAAGATGAGGACCAAGATGCGATGTCAAAAGGTCTACATAGATTTAGGCAACTTACAGACAAGGCTCAGTGTCAAGAAATAAAAAACTCAGATAGAAAATTGGAAACTCCTGGAAGTGAACCAGAAGCACAGAATAATGAAAGTCCAAATGTTGAGAAATCTTATTCAAGTAAGAAAAGTGGTGTAACAATGAAAACACAGGAAAAGATAATCTTAGCACATGAAAAACTCCACAAAAAGGA